ACGGCGACGACGGCGACGGCGACGACAGACGCAGATGATGGCTATATGTACAGACACATCTGTGTCTGTACATAAAAATTAAAATCACTAACAAAGTTCAATGAAGATATTACAATGAAATTTGGCATAATGTAGGAAAATGATGTTTTAAATAAATGCTGAAAATTTCATGACTCTACCTTTCTTAATTTTGACAAACTAAAAAATTTAAATCTTCCGTCCAAAAATGCTGGTCTATGTGAATTCTGACAAGTGCCAGTGTCACAATGTCCTTTAACTGGTCTTAAATTTAAGTCCAGTAACGGACTTTCAAAACATTATATTAAATTATGTAGGATACAACTGGATAACTCATCTAGTCAGTATCTTCAATACACACTCACAATGTCTCCACGTATGCCATCTCATCCAAGTTCCATATTTTCACTGATCTGTCATGTGATGCACTGAAAAGCTGGTGTGTTCCGCATCTAAATGCCAAACCCTGAACACAGACAACACAAAAAAAGTTTGAAGTTATATCTTATAACGTCCATATTTCTAATAGCATAAACTATTCTAACAGGGGACATTTATGCTATTAAACAGGCATATAATGTTGTCAAAAAAAAAAAGACAATTATAATAATAATATTAATAATATGAACAGACACACTAGGGTACATTAAATTAACATTTTACTGCCTTCGCTTAGTTAATTAATATAATTCTATTAAGTCCTCAAGGCACTTACAGACACTGCATCCCTATGTCCAGTGAATGTATGCAGTAACTGGCATGTGTCAGGGTTCCAAACATGTATTAATTTGTTTCTGTCCCCAGATACCTAAAATGCAAAGAGGGAATACTGGATCCAAATAAAAAATCACAATTAAGGAAAGAAGTTCATTTATCTAAAAAAAGGTTTTCCAATTCCTGTTGAAGTTTTCTATGAAAATGTATACACAAACTACTATAGAATCTTAAAGTGCCTTCTTCATTTCAACTCTCTCTCTCTCTGGCAAATATATATACACACACAATTTTCACTTATTTCCGAAAAAAAAAAAAATCCTAGCTGGTACACATTATGCATAACTGGAATAGTCAGTTCAACAGACAGACAGACATACCAGGAATGTTCCATCAGATGACACAGCCAGACATAAGACATGTGACGTGTGACCCACATGTCTGTCCTCTGTCCCCTTACGACCACCGTGGATAGTGTGAACCTTCTTCTTAGACTCCAAACTCCCTGGAATTATATACACTTAGAAATTATCAACCCAAATTTTGTCTTTCAGAATCATATTTTTCCTATAGTCCAATCTCTCTGGTTTTTCAGAATCATGTTTTTTTCCTAGAGTCCAATCTCTGAATAAGTATACAGGAATAATCAGCATTAATTTCGTTCTTCATCAAAGCTAAACAGTTTAAAGAGATCTATAACATGCTTTTTTATGAAAAAAAGGACCACAGTGATAATATCTTCAGTAAAGAAAACAATTTCTACTCTAAGAAACAGACATTTTCCAATATCTGATTTATCTTTTTCAGTTTGCATAAAGTTAATTTTATCTTGCTGCACTAACATTTCACAATAGAACAATCTTTAGAGCCACTGAAGACGTGTTTCTCATCAGGTGTGATGACTAGACAGGTGACAGCTAACTGGTGTCCTCTTAACAATGTGATGTCATCTGGTGATGGTTGGACATACTGGAATATAACATAGTATAGTATAGTGATAATTAGGTGACAGCTTAATGTTGTCCTTTTAACAAGGTGATGTCATTTGAGGAAGGCTGGATATACTATATGGAATGTTATGGTGAAATTATGGTATTGACTTGATCTTTTTGGAGCATGGAGAACTAAAAATGTAAATGACGTGACTGGATATCTGAACATTACATAACCAGATACTTTTTCACCCACATAAAGAAAGACTTGTATGACTGGTAGCAATATATGTTAGTGACATAAAACTGAAAATATGTTTAGGAAGTAAGGGATATTGATTACATCATGTTGTCCTGAATGCATTCACATCAGAGAGAACTACAACACCCAAACACCTATATGCACAGATATTGGACAGGATAAAACATTAATGTTAACCAATATATTTTAAATAAACTTGAATGAACACAAGTAGACTTTCTACCATTAAACATGATTCCTGTGGAAAAAAAAAACTCACCTCATCTGCCAATTTTCTCTGTAGTTTTCCTGCCTGCTCTAACTGTAAAAATGAATAACACATTAATGAACCAATATTATAACTCACAACTAGCACCTGCTCTGAAAATCATGAACAGATCAAAAGTATAGTTATTGTAACAACAGGATCAGAGAAGAGGGAAAAATATGTGTGCTCCTAGTGCTAATGAATGCTTCCTAAAATACCAGTAATTCTATTACAATAATCCAAATGAAAATAGATTGATGTATAACAATTTTTATGTTATGCTTTTTTGTCAATACAAAAAAGGCAGTTACTTTTACTGAGACAAAGTAATGGCCAAATAATCAGATAAATGTTTTACTGCTGTTAATGGCAAAGTATGAAAGGCACACTGCCAGACTTACTATGTCTGTTTTGAGTCTCTCTCCTACTAAATCATGACCTTCCTCATCGTCTGTTTTTTCTGCCTCTGAAGAGACAAAAACAGCAGGAATTATGTGGTGCAAAAAAAATGAGCTACATACAATATTATCAAATTAAATGAATTTTGTTCAGCTTATTTTCTGCCATCTTAATGAAATTTGAAGTGTAATTCTTTAGGGTAATTCAGAAATTCTATTCAGCCACACAGATTTGAGCCTTAAACAACATTTAGAGAAAATATATCCTATACAGAAGAAATTATTATCAATTCATATAACTTCTCACCTTCTGCTTCCAGCTGAGCTAAATACTGCTTGGTAAGCCGTAATTTTTTCTCTTGAGCAGTCTCTTCTTCCTCTTCCTCATCTGTGCTGTACTGATGGGATTTTCCTTTAGTATAAGTTTCTTCTTCACTGAAAACCAGTTAAAAGTCTAGAAGTAATTTGTGCTAATTTCAACAACCATTCCCTGCTGAAATGTGTTAAGTGTAAATACCTAACTCCAATTATGCATACATTGGGATGATTTAACAGACCTTTAGAATAAATATTGCTTATAAATTAAGGCTAAAGTATAATATAAACTATACTCGAACAAAAGCTGATATAATCTTAAAGACAAAGACTTAATTAAGTCAGTACTGGTCCTCTGAGATAACAAACTACAGATCTAAAACTTAGGCAGGGTATTTCTTTTTAATGATTAAGATAAATTATTAAATTTCATTTCACTCTACTGCACTGGGTCAAAATATAGTCAAACTTTGGTTTTTAAAACAAGACTTATGTCTGTTATTTTATTCATTACATCTTAAGATTGCAAACCTATTTATTTCATCTGAGTCACTGGGGATTTCCTCATCTCCTCCTGACTGAAACTTTGTTTTAATTTTCTTCTTGTTTGGTATTGTTGTACCATTTTTCTGTGGTTTACTACTTTTGTCAATCTGTAAATTCAAAATAGGAAGTTAGTTCATAAGTGCAATTTTTGAATATGCTAAATCTAAAGGATTTACAAATAGTACAATAATTCAAAATCTTAACAAAAAATGTGGACCCCTCATCCTTGAAGATTGGGAAAAGGGGTGGGGGTTAATAATTTTGAAAATAATTACTCATTTTTCATAATTATGTCCCGACCAATGTATTGGGCCCGTGTCCTGGTAAGGGCATTTCTTTGCATAAATATGTTTTCTATTCGCCATTGCTTAGCTCAAATGCAGCACAATTAATCCTTCTATGTTTCTTTAAAGTTATTTCTATCTGTACCTTCCTGAACGCAAGAACGGTTTCTATTTTTTGAGGAGGTACTCAAGTTGTAAATATGTTTAGTATTGCCCTTTTTACTCTTCAGTTCACACTCATACCTTGCGTTTCGACCCCTTTGCAGTTCCTCCTCTGCCTCTACCGCTTCTTATGAAAAACGACATTGCTCTGAGAACTATCACAACAAAATAATTTTCTTAGCATGTGGAGCAAGCATGTGTTTCAGTTTTTCTTTAAAAGGAGTACAGAAAAAAATCAACCTTCTGCGCATGCCCAATGTCGTGTGACTCAGAGCGAGTCACTTCCGCGATTCGGTGAAAGTGTAAACCCGTGTTTTAACTAAGTTTTTGTTCACAACCTGCACTTCCTTATTCTCGGGTTTTGGATATTCACTCTCTGTATATCGCAGTTTCGGGAGGTAAGTTATCTGGTTAATTGCCAATATTCTTCTAACTTTAAATCGACTGCAAAAAAGTTGTGAACTTAGATTGTTTACGAGCAATGTGTTTGATTCTGAGCGATATTCATCTTGCGAGTGACTGAGAGTGACTCACTCGGGCTTGTCGAGCTTTGTGTCTTTATTCTGAGGGACTAATTGACCTTAAGAGCTGTTTCGGGCCAACGTATTGTGGTCAGTAGCTCTGATAGAGAGGGCTGCAATAAACTAAGGCCTTGAGGAAAGTATCGTTGTGATCACGGTGAAATAGTTCATTGTCGTCAGGCTCAGTTACTGTCATTGCTTGTGACATTACCCTTATTTGGTTTTCTCCGGAGACAATGATGTATCAGGTTACTATGAGGTGAGACCATTTTATTTCCTCTTTAGACTTCCCGTCTTTTACTTCAGATATCCGTTTTTTTTAAACTTTGATCTGGGCTGCCAGAGCCAGACCATAAGGACATTGGACCAACTCTTCCCTCTTTTTTTCTTACAACTCAAAATCATGTCTGTTACTTATTTACTCATAGCTTAAGTGAGAAACTAATGATAGTATCGTTTTCATATATATATATATATATATATATATATATATATATATATATATATATATATATATATATATATATTTTTTTTTTTTTTTTTTTTCTGTTGATACGGTGTACTGCAAGCTTTGAAACTTATCTCTGAAACTCAGATATCAGTTTGTAGTTATAATTCTATGTAGAATATCAAACCACTGAAGATACTGTAAAATACCTAGACTCTTGCAATTTTTTGTCTTGTTTCAGTTCTCAGCTTACATTTCCTAGCCATGCTTTGACAGTAACCGGGGGAAAGGCAGATTTGTAGTGAGGGAGGGGATATACATACTAGTACCTGTTTAGAATGAAAGGTACACATGTGAACTTTATTCTAGTACTAGTATGTTCTTCTTTTGATGGGATCAAAGACTTTTGTATTGAATACAACATCTATGCCAATCACAATAGATATGAGTAATATGAAATACAGCATGATTTAAATTTTTTATTGTACTGGAGTCATATATTCTGAGGCAAAATTTATATTTATAGACTATGATGTGAACAGTATTGATTGATAAACCCAGTTTCATTGTATTTTAAATGTATATGTATGCCTGTGCCAGACTGCTGTCAGTTATAAAATGTAAAGAATAATAAAAATAGGACATCTACAATATGATTAAATGTAAAACCAGATTCCCTGTGCAACTGATATCAGTGTGATATGTGTAATCTCTACCAAATCCCACCTCAAATCCCTTAGCCACTGTAGAGTTAATGATGAATGTGCATGATCTGGGGAATTTATTAATAAAAAACAAAGGACAAGAACATTGCTTATGCTGTGTAACAGTACATATATCTGACCTCTGTGGTATTAGGCTTAAAGACTGCAGTGGCCTATTTTAAATTTGGTTTTTATACACAGCATGCATTCACACCAGTGCTGTTTTGGACTGGAAAACGGCCCAAAAGGTGTTTGCTGAATGACCAGAAATCTGGATCAGGTTATAGAAATTAACTTTACAGAATAGCCTGAAAACTGGTCATAACTTTTTGGGAAGGAGGCCTCAGAAGTCACAGCATTAGTCTAGTCATCTGATAAAACATTATAGTCTGTACTTACTAGTATGTAAGGCTTCGTTCACATGGAATGTCTATTTTCTAAATTCTATTTTCTATTTGTGCTATCTTATGATCACGGTCTGTGCTCTGAATATCCCGCCGCGTAATTACTGGCAGCGCGAGCCAGTTACTTATAGTAACTTATAGTAACTGGCTCGCGCTGCCAGTAATTACGCGGCGGGATAT